AATGAACAGGAATTCAAGGCCAACCTGGGCTGCCTAGCAAGTTCCACACCAGCCTGGGCTATGGCCTCAAAAAGCCATAAAAGGCGGGGGAGTTGTTCAGGTCCCCCCTGCCCCTTAGGATAGCTGTATTAGCTACTTTCGTGTTGCTGTGATAAAACACCATGACCAGAAGCAACTTATGGGGAAAACAGAGTTTATTGTGGACTTAAGGTTCCAAATGGATAAGAGTCCATCACAGCAGGGAGCCATGGCAGCAAGCAGATACCGCAACAGGAGCAGGAAACTGAGATCCACTTATTCAACCTCAGACACATGGGAAGCAGGAATGAGTGAGACTATGAAATCTCAAAGCTGGCCTCAAGTGATGTACTTCCTCTATCAAGGTTACAACTACCTAAAGTTCCTGGAACAGCATCACCAACTGGGGTCAGTGTTCAAATACATGAGCTTATGGGGGATATTTTCATTCAAACCACCATAATAGCCTTCTAAACAGCCAATGGGGTAAAGAAATCGCAATGCCAATAGAAACTTCAGAAAGCAAGGTGCCTCTGCTGGCTGGACAGGGTTGGAGGCTAAGCAGCTCCTCTGTAGAAGGGCAGATGAAGGGCATCAATACCAAGTAAACACAGACAAGGAATCCTGGGCACTAGAAGGTGGAAACATGCCCAGAAACCCAGAGCCTCTGTTGATTAACTCCATGGTAACCAAAGGAGCCCTCTTGCAGGCACCCAGAATGTAAACAGCCATCCAAGTGTACATACAGTTTGCCCGATAACTTCCACAATGTCTTTGTATTGAAGTCCTTACCTATTTAGAGAGAGGCAGCTTATCCTCCTAATTCAGACAATCCAGAAGCCATCTCTCCAGTCCCTTTTTTCCCCCACTACACTATGATTAAAAACGTTGGGCTGCTTTAACAAAATGTGTGCATTGGGTGGCTCAAATGACAATCATTTCAAACAGTTCTGGAGACTGGAAAAGTAAACCAAGACACTGGCAGATTGCATGTTTGGCAAGAAACTACTTCCTGGCTTGCATTTATCAATGTCCCTGCTGTGTTCTGCACAGGGAAGAACTAGGTGCTTCCACATCCTTTTATAGTGGCACTATACAATTCATGAAGGTGTCACCCTCCTGACCTCATCAACTTCCTCTATACCATCCCTTCAGGTGTAGTGTTTCAACATAAGAATGGGGTGGCGTCGCAGACATTCAGTTTTTAGTAAAAGCTGTTTATACCTATTTTGATACCATAGTTAAAAGACGAAATGGTAGAGGGGCCAGGGTTTCACTCACTAATGGAGGCTAACAAACCTGGGGCCTTGGGTTCCATCCTCAGCAACAAAAAAGAAAAGGAGCAGGGAGAAAAGAAAAGAAAAAAGAGATAAAACATAAACAGACTCAAATATTATATTTAATTGGTTTAATCCTGTTACCCAACAAAATTTTTGAACAAGATGACAGAGGGAATTATACATAGCAGATTAGAGGTCACTGAAGCTCACTGGCACATTTCCTCCAAAAAAGAAAAAAAAAGAAAGAAAATCATCACTTTGAGGGAAGGGTCCTCTTGGCCTACATCTCTAAGGTGGCCTTTTAGTCTAGATCTAGACTATATCCCATTGGTCCAGAGATAGAAACAGCTCCTCAATGTAGACCTAGAAAACACTCCCTTGTTCTGGACCTAAAAGATGTTCCCCTTGGACTGGATCTAGGCTACTTTTCTACCCAAATTAACCCATTCAGAGAGAACCTCAAAGTTCATAATAAGATACCTCTAAAATCCAAGCTGTTGCTAGGGAGAACTGGCCCAGCCCCCCACTGACTGCACCACTCTGGAGAGGGGGCCCTGCACCTCCCCAGGGCAGCAGAGTGGAGCTGTCCCTGTTGGTGGGGGGTGCGGGTGATCCGGCCCTGAATATGCAAGCGTGGGAGAGAGAGCCCCACAGACTGTTACACGGTGGCATGGGAGAGGAAGAGAGATCCCCCTTGCTCCTACTGTGGGTGGGAAAAGCTGGTCCAGGGTCACAAGAGTGGGGGGACCGATCCTGCCCCTCACCAGCTGCAGCACTTGGGAGAGTGGGCCCTACACCTAGCAGTAGAGCTCACCCTGCTGACAGAGGCACAGGTGATCATGCACGTGGGTGATCTGGCCTCACCCTTCATCTACCATAAGGTGGAGTGGGTGAGAGAGAGATGGCCTCCCCCTCCCCTCCGCCTCCCTTTGCTGATCCACTGGCAGCAGCACTAAGGAGAACAGGTCCTGCACCAAGGAAAACAGGCCCTGCACCTTGCCTGGGCAGCACAACAGAGCTGACCCCGTTGGCGGGGAAGCAGATGAGCGGGCATGGGGGAGGGGGCATGAGAGCAGGAGGACTGACCCTGTCTGCCCCTTGTCTGCCATGTGGTGGCATGGGTGAGAGAAAAAATAGCCTCCCTCCCTTAGGCCCTTGCCACCTGCGGCAGGTGAAAGAGCTGGCCCCCGGGGCCATGAGAATGGGAGAACTGGCTCTGCCCACCCCAGGCAGCTACAGCACATGGGAAAGCAGGCATGGCACCTCCCTGACCCTGTTGGCAGGGGTGCAGGCGAGCCGGGCCTGTGGCTGTGAGAGCAGGAGAGCTGCCCCTGCCCCCTCTCTGGTATGCCATGAGACGGCAAGAGTGAGGGAACCATGCCTTCCCTCCCACCCCTTGCCACAAGAGGGAGAGCCCACCTCAGGGGGCATGAGAATGGAAAAGCTGGCTCTGCCCCTCACCAAGTGCCCCAGTCCAGAGAGCAGGCCCTGCACCTCACTCGGGCAAAACAGTAGAGCTGGGCCCATTACTGTGAGTGCAGGTGAGAGCTGGACTGTCCCTGCTCCTTGCTGTCTGCCACACTGGGTGAGTCAGCTGGGGCAGTGCTGGAGAGCTCGCCTGGGTGGTGATGATGAGGGAAAGCTGGCAGGCTGACCAACCCAGCTACCACCCAGGCCCAGAACCAGGACTACAAGGTAGCCCACTCTCTGTGTGTTGTGACCAATCGGATCTTCAAGGGAGAAATTGCAGGAACCACGAATCTCTTTTTCACCGTGAGTTCAGCTGCTGTGGATATGCCAGGGACGGATGCTCCCCAGCATTTCCCGTGATTTCCTGTCATGTAAGTCTGGCAGCCAAGGCATAAGTGATAGCCATCTCACTGACAGATATTTTTGACATTTATTTGTACGTGTGTCTCTGTCTTTGTGTGTCCACCACAGTGCACATGTGGAGGTCAGAGGACAGCTTGCAGAAGTCAGTTCTCTCCTTCCACCATGTGGGTCCTGAAGCTTGAACTCAGGTCATCAGGCTTGAGCGCAAGCACCTTTACCTGCTAAGCTATCTCTTCAGCCTCATTTATTAAATAAAGCTACACTTTATTAAAGACTGAACAGGGCTGTCAGTCATGCTTAAAAGCTGTGGTTCCTGAGTCTGGTGGCTTTCATTTTAGCCACTTTAAGTGAAACGTCCTCAGAAGGCACAGCTGCTTCCTGAGTGTGACCTTAATTTGCCTTTGTGAGTATGAATATTACACACGTGATCTTCGGCACTTCTGAGAGACACTGTTCAGACCGACCAACCTCAAGGTACCAGGCTACTCTCTGTAACCCATCTCTACCAGCTGTCTGCTCTTCTCTCTGCACCGCAATACGAAGGGCTTGGCCCCTTGTCAGAAACCTCAAGGAGACAAAAACCCAAACACAAGATGGAAAGTTCTAAGGGAAACAGGCAGGTAGCTTTCTAAGGCCTCCACTATTCCCTGGGTCTTCATTCTCCTTCTGACAGGCCACATCTCTTCTTGTCTAGCAAGTGGTAGATAATAGTCAACTTCCATGGTGTCTCTGTGTGTTTCTCAGTGGCCCTGGCACTGTCACATGGCCATATTTGAGCTTGTCACTTAGGCTGGGTCCCGTGATACTGGGAAATGAGCATTATAACTTCATTCCTACAGCCAGAGTTGGCCATTTAACAAAGTCATGGGGGTGGTTTTCCGGCAGAAATGATGGCTTTTCCAGAAGCAGGGTGACGGTAGCTTGCCTTGCTAAGATGCTTGCCTTGCAAGCACGAGGGCGTGACTTCTAGACGCAGAAGCCCATGGCACACAGGCAGGTATGAACAGCCACAGAAGCCATGGCACACAGGCAGGTATGAACAGCCACAGAAGCCATGGTACACAGGCAGGCATGGACACAACAGGCAGGTGTTCACTTGTAACCCCAGCACTGGGGAGGTGGAAACAGGTCTCTAGGGTTCACTGGCCAGCCAGACTGGCTACTTGGTGAGTTCTGGGCCCAGTGAAAGACCTTGTCTCAAAAACAAAAGGTAGATGGTATTGCAAGTGTGAGAGAGCAGCTCCCACATTTTCTTCCAAGGTAGTCTTGAGGAGGGAGAAGTGAGAAACACTTAGAAATATAGAGGGAGAGAGACGGATAGAAGCATAGGATAGCCTCGGGAGGGCCTGGATCAAAACCCATCGGCCCCTTCTCTCTCTGACAAAGGGCCTTTAAAGGAATGCCAAGGGGTAGAGCAAAAGACCTCCCCCTAGCACAGCCAAGTGCAGAACATTCCAAACACCTGGTAACCATGCACGTGGTCAAGCCATCCCTTAATGCAGTCCTGCTGTGTAAAGCAAGCTCCGATCTCACTAGGAAACCTCTGTGGACCCCAACACCCAAGATTGTTTTCTGACCTCTACATACCCCCACACACACATGTATGCACATCCACACACACAAGTGCACCTGCACACACATGAACAAACACACCCACATGAACACACTTAGCAACCAACACTTTTTGTGTGTGCTATCTTTTGAGTAAATAGACCCCTTCTAGTTTTTCCCTTGGGATTATGTTCAGGGAGGGGAAAAGAGGCATGGAGGTCTGAGGTGAGTGCTTGCCTAGCATTCACTAGGTTCAATCTCTAACATCAGGAAGAAACAAAATAGAACAGCATCAACCAAAACAAAATCACCATAAAAGAGAGTGAACAAAATAAAACTTTATTTGCATATTTCTACAGATCATTCTGAGAACTTGTATCAGCAACCTGGAAACTTAAGCCATTTTAAAGGGCATAGTAACTACAGTCAACCAAGCCCATCACATGACTCTTTATTGCTGATTGTAACAAAGGACTATTATTCAATATTTGTGCATACTACAACCACTCTAACTCCCGGAAGTGACAGCGTATTTACCCTACTACCCAAGAAGTCAGCACAGGTTAAACTCACAGTAGGTGTGCAGTAACTAAGATTCCCCTGAAACACCCATATAGCTCAATTCTGTGGACTAGACAGAATAGTCCCTCCTCCCCCTCCCCTGGGGCCCTGCTCACAGAGCTGCCACACCCTCAGGCCTCCCATGCTTAGCCACACCTAGCAACAAAATAAGCTTTTCATGACTTCACAATTTGTATCACCCACCAATGTCTAGAGGACTTAAGGCACATTGAGAGTGAGAGTGAGCTTGCTTGGGAGCACCAAGTGTCATCATTGGACCACCGTGGTTCTTGCTTCCCCAACCACAAAAGAAAGGGCAGGCAGAGTCTTCAGAAGCCCAGAACCTTAATAAGACACCTGAGTTTTCACTGACTCCCACGAACAACATCACATATTTGAAGCAATGGCAACCTCCTACTAAGAGGCACTTTGGGGAAAGAAGTTCTTTCCAGATCACAGCCTAGAGAAACAAACCCAAACGATTTCACAAGTAAAGGAGAGGACATTCACCCTGTCTCCTGGGAGTTAGAGGTGCTGGTGTGTAGCTCAGAGGTAGAGCGCTTGCCTCGTCTGGAGAAGGCCCTGAGTGCAATCCCTAACATGCAAAACCTAAGAATTGTCGAGTTTGTTCTATAACATAAACCACATGAACCAAATATGAAACACACACAACGAATGGACATGGCAACTCGGATTAGCAGGATCAGGAGAGTTCTGTGTAAGACAGAGGCACAAACATCTCTGATTTGGACTTCAAGCATGCCAAATGCTAATAAAAAGTACACTCTGTTATCTTCATGCTTCCCTGGGGAAACAAGAAGAAAGATTTTCCCCAATTCCTCTGTGTGTGTGAGAGAGAGAGAGCAAGAGACTAAATGTTAATGTTCACATTACAGTTCAGTGTTCTGTTGTTCTCCCCAAATAGAAAAGTACAAAAAATAAAACATCTGCGTTTTATATCTAGACACATCTGGAGAAAGCATGATAGCTTTGGAGCCAAATGGTGAACAGTCCTCTGGCTGCCCCATGCTGGCTCACTGCCGATTATGACTTCATTCTGGAAACCAGATGTAGGACAAAGGCCTCCCCCTCCAGAGGCGGCCCTCTGGGCCGCAGAAGGAAAAAAGGGGCTTTGGCCCCACATAGAATAGTAGAGGGGCCATGTGCTTAGATGGAACAAGCCACCTTCAAGGCTCCTTTCCCTGAGGACTGCCAGGGGTCCTTGTCTGAGCATAGACACAGGCACACCTCATTTGGTGGCAGCCCGCTGGTCTTGATACTTCTGGAAGGCACTCAAGATTTCCGTGATGACACTGGGGTCCTCCAGGGTAGTGGTGTCCCCTAGATCCTGCCCCTTGCTGGTGATGATCTTCCTTAGCAGCCTCCTCATCACTTTCCCAGATCTGGTTTTGGGGAGACGCTTCACCACCTGGCAAAGATGGGTGTTGTTAGGGTCTGGACAGTGCCCTCTGTCTCCAGTGTCACATTGCACAGAGATAAGAGTTCTCCTGTGGAGGTTGACATTTCTCACTGAAGACTCCACAGCAGCTGCCTGACACATGAGCCAAGCAAGGTCTTAATCCCCCTGGGACCTGGCCTTGAAGCTGAAATCAACTCAAAGAACAGGATCTAACCTGTGACCAAGTTTTGCTGATGCCCACCTCCAAGTCTGACTGCCTTTGTTTGCCTACCACTATACTTGAGTGGGTTCCTTCTCATCCCAAGCCTGAGACTTAATTGGGTAAAAGCCACCGCGCAAAAAATTTTGTCTTACACTCTGATGCAAAAGCTAATACTTTAAGAGCTGTGTTTGGGAGGTGTGTGTGTGTGTGTGTGTGTGTGTGTGTGTGTGTGTGTGTGTGTGTTGATGGTAGTACTAGCTGGAGACTGAACCCAGGGCTTCATGTATATGAAATTTTTAATAATGACTGTCTTTGGAAATAGTTTGTGTCACAAGTCCAGCTGATAAGGCCAGCAGTGTGAGCAACATGAAGGGGAGCCAGACTCTTTCTGCCTCAGAGGATCCCAAACCCAGATATCACTATGGAGAGGTGTTGGTGAAGGAAGAAAACCTGAAGAGACTAAGGGGTGGCCCGGGCCTTCCTGCAGGAACTGACTCCTTGCTGGGACTAGGAGCCATGTTCAGAAACCCCACGTGGCTGGAGGACTCTGGTGCTTTCCATGTCTCTGCATCCAAAATCTGTAATTTGGCTGAGCCATAGCTTAGTGGTAGAGAGCATGCTGAGCATTCACATGTCTCTAGGTTCAATACTCTCATGATTTGAATCTTAAATGCCCTCCAAAGACTGTGTTAAAGGTATGACCACAGGTTTGTGGTGTTATTGGGAGATAATGGAACTTTTAGGAGGTGATGTCCAATGAAAGAAAATTAGGTCATTTGGACAACAGCCTTTGAAGAACACATTAGGATTGCAGCTCTCCCTCCTTCTCAGCTACCATGATTTTGTTTTGCCACATGCTTCACACCAAAATAAGCAGTGTGGGTACAGGCCAAATACAGCCCAACCAACCAGCCATGAACTGTAACTGTGGACCAAAATAACCTTCCCACCATTTAAGTTAATTATCTCAGGCATTGTGTCACAGAGATAGAAAGCAAACACATACCCAGCAGCACAAAAAGAAGAAGAAGAAGAAAAAATTCTATTCTCCTTACCATTCAGTCCTGTGCCTGAAGCCAGCCTTCAAAGGCTACAGTACAAAAGCATCTAGCCTAAACAGGTATGTGCTGTAACCTTCAAATGCTATGGCCTTTCCCAGTCTCAGGAAAACATGCAGGGAAGCCCAAGCCACGAAGGACAGTTTTGACATTGGTGGAAAAGGAGCCTCATGCTTGTAAAAGTTCACCATTGCTCGGCATTTGTGGAAAGCAGAGGAGATTTAAAGAGAGCGATGCTATCCCCCTGATGGGGAGTTGACTCACCAGGATCTGGTCAGGCACGGCATACTTGGCGATCTTGGTGGCCACTGCCGACTTCAGTTCGTTTACCACCGCGTTTGTATCACGTGTGTCATCTTTCAGCACAATGAAAGCAAAGGCAGCTGGAAGAGAGAGAGCAAAGGCTCGGGAGTGCTAGGTCCTGCCTGAGTCTGGCTTGACTCTGTGGTCACAAGCCGCTGTAAACCCAGAGGGCTTCCAAGTCATGAGATGGCTACATAGTAACAACTGGTTTCAGCTCCTGCAACCCTGAAGAAGCATGCCCACAGCACAGCAAGTGAAAGCAAGATCCCCGTGTTCCACCCCGTGTCCCACATGGGTAGTCATGCATGGTTGAGAGCATGACCCAGAGGCAGCTCTGATGGCTGTGTGTGACCTCAGACATGTGACTTAACGTTCTGTTCTCTCAGCTGTGAAAGAATGCACGGTGTGGGCTGCCTGGAGATGGACACAAAATTGTGTAGCAGCGCCCTGGTGAACACATGGGTCCATGCCCAACAACACGGTGGCTGCTCAGCACGGTGGTCTTTTAACTTAAAAATGTGTTCCCTGAGGCTGGGGAAAGGACTCAATCAGTAATGTAGGAGCCATACAAGGATAATAACCCCAGTTCAGATCCCCAGCACCTGGATAAAAAGGCTGGCTAGGCATGGTGGTGCATGCCTATAATCGTAGCCCTGGGGAGGCAGAGACAGGAGGATCTATGGAGCTTGCAGGCCAGCCAGCCTAGCCAATCAGTGAGCTCCAGGTTCAGTGAGAGACCATGTCTCAAAAAACTCAGAGGTGGACAACTGGGCAAAACATTTGACTTTGACCTCTGGCCTTCACATGCACTATACAAACATGCATAAGCATGTGCGCGCGGATGTGCGCGCGCACGCGCGCACGCACACATACACACACACACACACACACACACACACACACACACACACATTCCCCCATTGCACGGCCGTAGTTCAGTTGCTCATTGAGTGTGCAGGGGCTACTGTGTTAGACAGTATCAAACTTCAGACTTGAAAAGCTCCACCATGGAAGAAAGTTCTGCCAGGCTGCAAGGTGAATGAATGCATGTGTCAGCACAAACACTAGATGACAGTTTTCAGTATCCTGGGGAGTTCTGAAAAGGATGTCCCATGGCTCCTACTGCCACACAAGAATCTAATTTTACTGTTTGCCCTATGTCCTGATACCATTTCTGATGGCCTGTCCCTACTACCTGCAATGTCCCTCCTCGCATGAAGTATTATATATATCGTAGCTTTCCAGTCATTTATTTATCTGCTCTGCACTGATTTCCATCTTTCAAGTGTATCCTTCCCCTGAGCTTCTTGAACCTACTGCACTATGTAGCTTTCTCATTGACCATGCTTACTGTTCGGCGTCTTTCTCTTCCCTGACCATCCCATCAAGTGGCTCCATGATGGCAAAGGCATCACCTACTTCACATTCACTGGTGTGTCTTCAGCGTCTAAAACCACACCTGGAGTATGGCAGGTGCTTGTTAATTATGTTGACAAGTGATTGTTTCCTGCACAAGCTATAATCTACATGTAGTGAACTAAGCTGCTACTAGAAAGGCTCCCCCATGTTCACCTAAAAAATTCGTATTCATCCCTCAAAGCCCTGCTTGGTTAACTTAAACTCTGTGACACTCTTTCTGACTCTGTCCATCTATCAAGTTGTGAAGTCTTCAGAGAAAAGAACTGCATTGTTTCATCCTGGCAGTAGACGTGACATTGGAGACAGACTTGGATTACTGATTCCAGAGGCGGGGATAAAGGGTGGTGGATGAAGAGCCAGACAGAGGTGTGCAGTGTCCAAGTGGTCATAAATCAGCAGGACAAGAGGCTGGCCAAAGCCTGCAACGTTCAGGTCCCAGTCAAATTAGAGCCAGGGGCTTCCACTATTCAGAGGGAGTGGGGACAGACATGCAAGTGTGTTCAAGCAGCTTGACATGAACTAAAAACCGTGAATGAGTTATTCCAAATCTGTTAGAAGCCAGTGCGACACCTACAATCACACTTCCTATATGTAAACTCCCCTCCCAACTCTGCGAGCACTGAAGAGCTGGCAATTCCTATCCTGAGAGCTGCTGCCAGAGCAGGAGGAGGCCAGGGGGCCCAGAGAGAGTGGCAAGCATCAGGCACCACACTGGGGGTGCCCCTGAAGAACCCACATGCGGGCAGAGCAGCTGAGGCACAGCACAACCCAGCACAGCCTGCCCAACCTAAAGCTATCCCTCGGCAGTGCAGTTTCTTTGACCTTGTGCATATTCTCTAGGGTTCACATCCAGGGGATGAGATACACCTAAAGGCAAGGCAGAAGGTGCCTGGAGTCACAGGCTGCTTTCAGCAGTTCCTTGCCCTCTCAGGTTCAGGACTGAAGTATTGACACTGTCCTGAAGCTCAGACTGAACCTTCACAGTTTCCAAATGCTGGGAGCACGCACACCAGTGCCCTGCAGATCCCTGGACCGACCACAGAGATATAAAATGCTGAGGCCCCAAAAGTGGTCCCGGTCCCTACCCAAATGAGGTACCCTCACTGTCACCCATGAAGCACTATTCTCACTGCTACCCACTTCCCATCCTGATGATATCTAGACATGGCCTCTGCTGGAGGCTGCCCCAAACTGCTCTCCCACAGCCACATCAGCACATCGGTTCTATAGTAATGAAGGATGCTGTTTTTAAAGCACTTAATTGCTTTTTAAATTTTGCAACAAATAAATTCAAAAAAAGTATCTGATGGGGCTAGAGATATGGTTCAGCAATTAAGAACACCAGCCTCATGGGAGCTCACAGACTCTAGACCCACCTAGACCCTCAGCATGTGGGTGACAGTTGTGTAGCTTGGTCTATTTGTGAACCCCTACCAGTGGGATCAGATCTGTCCCTGGTGCATGAGCTGGCTTTTTGGAACCTACATTGTACGGTGGGATACCTTGCTCAGCTTTGATGCAGAGGGGAGGAGCTTGGTCCTGCCTCAACTTGATATGCCATGCTTTGTTGACTCCCATGGAAGGCCTTACCCTTTCTGAGTGGATGGGGGAGAGGGCAGAAAGGAAGTGGAGGATGGAACAGGAGGAGAGGAGGGAGGGGAAACTGTGGTTGGTATGTAAAATAAATAAATAAGAAGAAAAAAAGAAAAGAACACCAGCCACTCTTCCAGAGGACCAAGGTCCTATTCTCAGCATCCACATGGAAGCTAATAACCATCTGTAAATCCAGTCCCAGGAGATCCAATGTCCTACCCCACCCCACACCACCCCACCGGTGCGTGCACAACCCTATCCTCTGTGGGCACTGCACATACAGTGCACAGACATACACGCAGACACAGACGTAAAATAAAAACATAAAAAAGAAAGCAAAGGCAGCATCTGGGGGCTGCAGTGCAGCAGGAGTGTGCAAACTTAGATGTTTGAGGGCTTGGGTTCTAGCCAGGACATAAAAAAGTTAAATTGTTTGAGTAAATACTAGAACAGCACCTAAGTGTAGACGAGAGACAGGTGTCAGCTGGAGCAAGCTGTAACATGGAATGTCCCTAAGAGGAAAGAGAACACTCAATCCCAGGCCACTGGGCAGGGCAGACAAGGTCATTCTGTGCAGAAGTGACCTCACACAGGCTTAGGATACGGCCAGGTCACACCAGTATGAGTGCCGTGGGCCTGCCATTGCAACACTCAAGTGTCCTTTCCAGACACTGCCACTTAGAAATCGACTGGCTGGGGGATGGGGAGAGGCTTTTAAAAAAAAGAAAGGTATAATTGGTTTAAGATCATTCTGATACCTGCTCTGCCCTCCCTCACTGCGCCAAAATGCAGTGGAATCACAGGTCACGTTTCCCAGCGTCTCAGGGCAGCACACAGCCTGCTATAAGCCAGTGCATAGGTAAGGCAGCTGCAGAGCTGACGTGTGTGCTGAAACCAAGCAGGTGGCTAGACAGGGAGACGGGCATGTGGCTTACAAAGTGCCCCAGGGATACTAGAAACAGAGGTGACTGTCCAGGCTTAGCCAGGGACTGAATAGGTCATGGCTTCTTGTGGCCTAGTGTCCTTAAAGGTCAGTATATCTGCGCATTTCACAGTTCAGACCCTTAATGCTTACCTTGCTCAGTTTCCTCACCAGAAGGCAACAGTATGACTCATAAGGGCCTATCCCTGCATCCTCTGAGACCTGCTGTTTCTTCTACTGGGCACCCTGCTGGGCATGACCCTCCACAGTAGAGAGAAGGGGACACTCACCTTCTCCCTTGATGTCATGAGGGTACCCGATGACAGCGGTTTCTGGAACAGCAGGGTGGTCAGCCTGTGCACAACAGAGGACAAAAGGCCCTGAGGTGACTTGGGGTGTACAATCCCACCCTGACTCTGAGATCAACAGAGGCATCATTAGAACACCAGTAAGCAAAAGGCAGGCTGAGCTTACCATTGCATCCTCAATCTCTGCAGTCCCCAGGCGGTGACCACTGATGTTGATGACATCATCCATGCGCCCTGTGATCTGGTAATAGCCACCCTCAGTCCGGTGAGCTCCATCTCCGGTGAAGTAATAGCCTGCACCATAGTGAGGCATTCAGTGCCAGGGACTCTGCACAGTCCATGGCCCAGCCCCACTCTGGAAGCTAACGCTGAAGGTGGCTGGGTTGTTATTGGTCTGTGATCTCCCTCCAACAACTATTGCAAAAACACTTCTCTAGGTGATGTCAGGCTGTGTTCTAATGAGAAGGCCAGTGGCACTGAGACCACATCCCATGCATGATGTCAAGACTCCAAATGTCCAGAGAGCAGAAAGCAGACAGGAGCACAGTTGGGATGCCCCTCAAGATGAGTGTCAGCTAAAACCTTGAGACTGAAAGTTACTAGCTCCAGCAAGGCAGAGATGGTGGCAGTCACATAAACTTCCAACCCAGGACCCAAAAGAAAAGTGAGAAGAACATGAATGTACACTGTGAGAACACCCAGCCTTTGTGACAGTTTCCCAAGCATGTTTCTTCACTCATCTTTCCCAGTATATCCCAATATGTCCATCTCAGACCAGAGCCGTGTGTTAATGGATACACTCATGTCCACCCAGGTCCCTGCAGAGGCTTGGCGTGCCTACCCCAGCCCCCAGTCAAGATAAGGAAAGTCTGGAGGGGGGCTTCAGAGCCTCGCTTCTACAAAGCCATCACATTACACGCAGTTGCCATGAATTTAACCAGTTCCCTTATCTATGGAAACATGAGTCCAGGAATCCATGGAGAAGGTATAGGGATCCACCCTAGCTGCTCACCTGGGTATGCTCTGAAGTAGGCATCTATGAACCTCTGGTGGTCACCATAGATGGTCCTTGCCATGCCTGGCCAAGCTTGGGAAATGCACAGGGCCCCAGAGACGTCGCGACCCTCTACAACATTGCCCTATAGATGAAGGGAGACATTCATGAGAGACCTGGCTAGTTCTGGGAGAAAAGCATAGTCCTGACTGCTTGGCCTGAGGCAGAAAATATGAAGCACTGAACGGAACTGTCGAGAACTTTCCTTCTGGCGAGGTCTAGCAGTCATCGGCAGTTCTGTTTAAGAAGAAACTGCAGAGAGTGTGTGAGGACCTGGCCTTTACTCCAGGGACCAGACTGTGCATCTCAGCAAGAGACAGGAAGCAGGGGATGTGGAAGGCTTGCCAGATGAGTTGTAATATATAGTGGACAACCTCTTCAGGACCCTACACACCTTCTCATCCATGAGTGCTGGGACGATGCCAAAGAAGGGCCTCATGGCCATACCCGGGAGGATCTCTGCCCCATCTTCTGAGGGCCGTGGTGCGATGCAGATGCCGCCAGTTTCTGGAGGAAGGATGAAGAAACACCATTGACCTGAGAACCAGGGATGGGTAGGTTCCAGAATATGCCCATCTAGGCTTGGACCGCAGTCGCCTCCACTGTGAGCACAAGCAGAGCCCTTGGCTCTGCATTCAGCAGATGGGTGCGGGTGCTACCCTCTGTTTAATAGGCTCTCACTGGGTCAGGCCTGTGTTTAAAATAGGGAAGGGGGAAAGGCCACCTACTTTCACAGGAAGATGGAAGAAATGAACGACTTGAAGCCAGGACCTGTTTGATGCACGACAATGAATAGCAAAGTCTGTGTGGCCGTTTCTCGGGCACCTGCATCTGCCAGGATGTATGGCAGCAACTCATGAGGCCCACTGTGAAGAGTTCTCTGTCCCAAGTCTTCCAGCACAGACAAGCGCTATTCTTTGAACCTGTCTCATGCTGGCCCAAGACTTCCGACAGCTGTGTTACTGTATAGTGGTGGCCTCTTCCCCTAAACATCCCAAGGAGTCAAATATTCAAAAAAAGGACAAATTAAAGCAGCCACAGGAAAACTTCCTTTTCCTGCCAAAATTTAAATTTAGACTCTGGATCCCTCGAACAAAAGGACTTGTCCTCCTCAGAAGTGGCTGCGTTCAAAAGGGGTGGCTCAGTGGCAGAAGACTAATGAGCACACGTGAGACCCTGGGCTTGACTCCCGGCGCTGCACCAAAATTAAAAGGGAAGGAAGCAAGCCAGGAAAGGGCCACCGCCTGCAAAGGAGAGGGAACTCTGAGAACTTGCCAGTCCACTGGCCTTAGGCCACCTGCCCTAGCGTATCACCCCATCTCCTCCTCACTCTGAGGCTCACACAGAGGCGGTGAGAAGCACATGAAAGCAAGACTCAGGAGAGCATCGCACATCCCCCAGCAGCCAGGCTGAACCTCTGAGCCTTCTCCTCTACAGCTGCACACTGAAGGGACACGGGCCTGGTGAGCACCATCACAGCCACTGGAGAACACGAACCCCGGCTCCAGGCATGCATGAGCCCCGCCAGTCCCCCGCTAGTCCCCAGGCCTGTTCCAACTCCCCCTCAGGGACACTCACCCGTCTGCCACCAAGTGTCCACCAGCGTACATCTGCCGTCACCCACCACCTTGTGGAGCCACTCCCAGGCTTCATGGTTGATAGGCTCTCCCACTGAACCCACACAAAAGCGAGAATCACTTTCAAATTTAAAACGAATAGTCTTCGAGAAAACCAGAAGCCAAAAGGGATAAAGGATTAGGGGGCTTCCTGAAGGTTACGTCAAAAGACCTGGAAAGGCCTGTGTTCCCATGTCCATAGTCTTCAGAGTAACATGCATTATGATGAGTACATTCAGCATGACAGTTCAAAAGGCAAAGGAAAAAAGTTCAAGAATGTGGGGAAACAAAATGTCACGCACAGTGCAGGACTGAAATCTGGCACGGAGTTTCTGAGGAGCAAGTGACATATTTGCTGTCATATTTAAGAGAGTATACATCCCATACAACTACTTGGGACCGTTGTCAGGGGCAGAATCTATTAAAGCTAAAGATGGGTTTACCCCACTATCTGAAATTTTGACTCCAGACTTCATTCCACAGAACTAAAAGTAGACATCTGACAAAAAAAAAAAAAAAAAAAAAAAAAAATGGGCATGTACAAGGATAGATCCATGCCAGTCTTGCTCATCACAGCCAGAAAAAGATGGCCCTTACGGGCAAAATGGAAAAGTTGGGGTATATCTATATAGTGGAACACCATATAGTTATGAAAATAAGCAAGCCATTGCTACCCACGACAACACATTGTATGGCCCCATCCACATGAAGTTCAGAACATAAGAACACACACTGAGAGAACTGCAGTGGTCACAGCAAGAGGTTACTAGAGGGAACCTTCCATATCATATCTACTCTCTAGTCTATATTCTTCTATAGTTGATCTAGGTAGCAGTCATCTGTGTTATGTATGAAAGAAAGTCTTTATCAACCTGGTTCCTTGGCATCTGTACATTTGATGGATCTTACGCCTCTGAAAAGAGGTACTCTGCCTTAGCATTTTGTGACCTGACTTTTCAGTGTCTGTCAGGAAAGTTACCAGGACTAACACACAACTCTTACTCATCAGTTTAGAGCAACTACTGCTGAAACAACAGGGTGCCCCTCTTGCTAGTCACCTGTCAGGACTACTCAGTTCAGCACTGCCTAGCACTCTGAGCCTCAGGCCCATGCTAAACCACACAGCACTTTGCTCACCTGACCCCAATGTACGCAGGGAGGAACGGTCATACTTTTTCACCCAGGCATCCCCGTACTTCAGTAGCAGCCGGACAGCTGTCGGGGCACCATAGAACTGGTTGATCTTTAGCCTCTGCACTGTCTCCCAGTAGCGACCTACAAAGGGGGCAGAGTCAGCCAAAGATCCCACCAAGCACGGCCTATTTGATATACATTCAAGCTAAGCTCAGAGTTACTAAGGACCGAGGTTATGTATGTGATCGTAGAAAAGGAGCCAATACCATCCCTGAAGAATGGAGTTCCAGGGAACACACTAACTACAAGGTGGCATGCAGAGGCTCCTACACCCAGCCTTAGATGACAGCATCACGTGAGGCATTCCACGTGAGCTAGCCAGGGATCAGCTTCAGATGTTATTGCTGCAAGTTTAAAAAAAAAAAAGGCATAGAACTTTGATCAGTGGTGATTAAATGGACCCTGAAGAAATGACTCGTCTTCCCTTGGTAACAACATAGCCTCTGGTATGTGTGCAGTCATGTGCCCAGAAAACACACACCTAATACTCGTAAAACTCCGTAGCTCACACTATTCCCTGAAGCTGCATTTAAGCAATGACCCTCCATCCCTGCCTTCACTCCATTCTGCTTCCTTGAGTGCAGCTGGAGGGGACCAAGAGGCACCGGAAAAAGTTCATGCCCCAACACTGTGGCATGCTAGGGCAAGAGCCAGCAGTGGGGCCCCCGCAATTTGACTACATTAAAGCAAATATTTGGGGACACTGTGTTGCGTGAGAGAAATACCAAAGACAGCAGGACTCATCCATACCCTCAAAGTGAGTACCGCTTAACAAGGGTGGCACAAGCCATGTATGGTCCTAAAGGCTTGGGCAGTGAGGCTGAGGAGAATAGGAAAGATGGGCAGCTGGCCTAGGCTTCGAGGGAAGGCTAGATGTAGACAAGTGGGGTAGCCCTAAATATGAGATAGAGAATGTTAAAGTGATGCTCTCTGCAGTCACCTTCCAATACAGGGGCAGTGAAAGTGAAATGGGGAGTTTTGAAATGAGATTCTTTCCTGAGCAACTCCCTCTGATCTTTCTGCACACAGCACTAGGCTCCAGTTCATGTAGTAATCTAGTGTCCACTTGGCATCTGGTCAGTGGGACACAAGAACAGTTCCCTTGCCAGATCCAAGCCTCCAGGCTTCTGTGACCCTTCCCTCCAACCTTGAGATCCCTCCCACACTACCTAGAGCAGGCCTCACCAGAGTTCTTGGTCCTCACCAGCATCAGGGTAAACAGGGGTGCTCTCAAAAAGGACCGTGGTAGCTCCATTGCAGAGGGGTCCATACACCACATAGCTGTGTCCTGTGATCCAACCGATATCAGCCACACAGCCAAAGACATCGCCTGGCTGGTAGTCAAACACGAGCTACGGACACAGGAAGGGACCCTCAGGAGCTTGCCTTCCCCAAGTCACCCTTTTCCTGCCCACCACCAAGGCATAGTCATCTGCACAGCAGTCTGTAACCGACACAGCCACCACAGCCAGGAGTAAGGTGAGTGATGGCTTGTAGGAGTTTCCCACAGAGCACAGCGGAAGACAGAATCATACACACAGACAGCAGCAGTGGAGCCAGTATCAAATAGTACATAGTACACGAGCCTAGGGAAAACTCCAAGCAAAATCCTCATGCTGAGCTACAGGAGGAAGTTGCTCAGGAGTTTATCTGTGAGCTGAAGATGGCCCATGTCCTGGAACACGTACACACCCAGTGGTGCCATTTCATCTCATTGTTCAATTAAGGTACGGCAACTTGAAGTGGGAATGTATGTTGGCAACAGAGTACAGGCTTGTCATACATGAACCTCCAAGTTCAACTCATAGCATCAAGAGAAATAAAAAAAAAAAGTCTGGCATATTTCTGAACTACCTTATACCACTGTGTTTTTTTTAAAAAACATTTAAAATTTTAAAAAAATCAAATGCAAGCACCCATGGAGCACCATCAGCTTTCCCTTGCTGAAGAGTCATATTGGGATCCTGTCGACCATTTGAGGAAAACAAAGCTTAGACAAACCAGCTGCCATAGACAAAGTCCAAGGAAATGAAAGAGATAAAGGGGAACCAACAAGGTAAAGAAAACATCCAAATAGTGTGATGAACAGGAATATGTATTTCTAGGGATGTGGCCCTGGGGTGAACCTTGAAAGGAATATGGGTCAGTGATGCATCACATTACAGAGGATGGGACTGTAGAGGAGGCTTCTGCAAGACTAATAATTTATTTCTTCACCAAAGCAATGTTCATTTTATAGTAACTCATTGGACCACAGATTAGATTTTGGTAGGATTTGTGTATGTTCAAAAAAGAGTTTTGCTGGGCATGGTGACACACAGCTTTAGATCCTCACACTTGGAAGGCAGAGGCAGGCAAATCTCTGAGTTTGAGGCCACTCCAGTCTACATGGAAAGTTCCAGGCCAGCCAAGCCTACATAAGAAGACCTTGTCTCAAAAAACAATATTTTTAATCTTTAATTGGGAAGTCCCCCAGTTCCTGCTGCCACAGACAAGGTCAGTTTCTCTAGGAATCAACAGTTTACAAGCAGCTGTGACAGATAGTGAGCAACCAGACCCTTGTAAAGTTGTGTCTCCAGGCCAGCAAGGATGCTCTGGAGAAGTAAGGCACTTTCACTGTTCTGGGGAATCAGGATATTCTTAGCTTAAAACCCCAAGCACTCAAGAGCAGGAAAAAAAAATATGTATGCAATTCAGATCCAAAGTGTCTGTCCTGGGGCTGGAGATTTCTTTCCCCATAGTCCCTTACAGGAAACCAGGGGCTGTGTGCAGTCATTCTCCAAAAGGCCCAGCAGCCAGGAAAGTCTATGCATCCACTGCATGCCCCAATGTCGCTCACACCTCTATCGCCCTTCACAGTGAACCATCTTCTTCCCTAATAGTCCCAAATACCATCAGCATGCAGTCATGTGCAAGAGAACAACTATAAACATATGATCACATGCATGTGGGCAAATAGGCTCATTTGTATGCATCACATACATTTATAGACGTGTGAACATTCCCCCAGGTGAATACATTCATATTAAAACACAAGCGTGAGCATACACAAAGATCCCTACAACCATGGTAAGCATCAACGACATTCAAACCAAGGACCCTAGCACACACTGTCATCTGAGTACAGGACAGCCCCAGTGTGGATGCCTCTAGCCATCTTCCACTGAGAACACAGAGACATGGAAGCCTCAGCACTTGCACAAGCTGAGCCAGCCACATCAAAGCAGAGCTGGGCACACCTAGAGGGGAAACCAGACTTTTAATCCAAAAGCCTTTTTGCTGTATGTCATAGCCACACAGAGAGAGGGCTATAGAGTTGCCTGGGTTGCTGGGACCACCTCAGGCCTCCTTATACCTGAGTGTGACACTTGGCACAGAAAAAGCTTCCAACACCAAATGAGCAAAAAGACACACTCTTTCTTGCCTGTTTGTTCTTAGCCATAAAAGCCTGAAAGTCTCCCAATGCTCTTAAAAAAAAAAAAAAAAAAAAAAAAACCAAAGTATTGAAAAAGATGCTCCCTTCCCTATCTCTACCCCCTTGTGGTAGTTTGAATAAGAATGGCCCCATAGGCCCATTTATTTGAATGTGTAGTCATCAGGGAGTGGCACTATTTGAGAAGGATTAGGAGGTGTGGCCTTGTTAGAGGAAATGTGTCACTGGGGGTAAGCTTGGAGATTTCAAAAAACCTATACCGGGCCTGACATATCTCTCTCTCTCTCTCTCTCTCTCTCTCTCTCTCTCTCTCTCTCTCTCTCTCTCTCTCTCTCTC